TTGGGGTCGAGGCTGGTATAATAATTTTCTTTTGTTAAAAATTAGTTTCTGTTTTAGAAGATGACAGCCTAGAATAATAATCTAGTAGGATGCTATGTTACATTGTTGCGCAGCCCTCGACCGTGTTCGATCCAAACGTTTTGGCTTCGGGCTTCTGGCTTAAACCACCGCAGACGAAATCCTGAAGAGATTGAATTGCACGTCTCTCGGATAGTAAGTGCAAAGTCAGAAGAAGTTGAAGTAGAGATGTGGGATGGAGGCAGACACTTTCGGAATTTATGTTTGCAAGGCGTGCGGCAGGTATCTTTGAGGTTAAGAAACGAATAGTGTGTGCAAAGTATAGTATATGGCAAGGCGGTTTCTTGTATCTGGTAGCTTAGTTGCAATTCCCTTTCTGGCTGGTTGAAGGGCTGATTGTTCAATCCCTTTCCAACAAGCAGCTGAACCATGGCAGACAGTATATTATAGAAGCTTAAAGAATTACCAATAGTATTCCTACGGCTGAGGGTTCCTCGTTCTAAATAAGCTATACTATAAAGGAGCCCAAAACNNAATTATTAAGGCCCCTACATTGCGCCCCGACACTACATGCATCCCCTTCATCCGGACTGACGACGCCGAGGCCGCAACGAACGGCTAAGAGTGCTGCACAACGCAAGGTCGCTGGAGGGGATCACGACTAGGGTTTCATCGTTGAGGAATTTGTTGCGAGGGCCCACAGCTTGGATGAGTATGAGGATTCAGAGATGTTTGACATCACGGTCTGGTGGTTTGAGGTTCATGGGTTGGCTCAATTGGTTCGGGCCTTGTTTGCGGGTGCCAGGTTTGGCATCTTCTGCTTGCTTTCGAATACAGGGTGGACTAAGAACAGATACAACTTTTAGATTAATACAAACCCGTCAGAACCCAGGTAGTGATGGTTAATGTAACGTGTTGTCTAACCTTACACATCAGTCTTCAGGAGCCTGGTAATGTCCTCGCCGAGTGGAATGCTTGCTGAAGGAGATCTTGGCAACTGATGCAAGCCTTAACCTACCAGAACCTACTTTT